GTGGTTTACAAAAACAAGTTTATGTCGTCAGCTGTTCATGGAGCTCGGATCCACACGATAACCATTACGTGGCATACGGATGACTTTGTATGTGCTAGTCACGTTTAAATGAGTCATCAGCTGTCCAGGGCAAGACGTGAGGTCATTTGTGGTGCACTCGTCACTCACCGAATTCTTCGCTTACCTCCTGTTACCTGCCACGTGGCATGACCGGGCCTCACGATGCCAAAGCCGGTTGGGATTCTGCTGCGTACGCCCGCATTGAATGCATTTTGAGTATAAGTCCGACATTAAAAGAGCCATATGCAGTTAAACTCTAAGCCTGGTTACTGGACGCAGGCAAACATATTTGACCCTTGTTCAGGCACCCACTGCTATTAATGGAGTTGAAAATATTGTTGTGGTGGCTGTGGGCAGTGTTCTGTGAATTCTCTCCAAGAAGACATGTGTCCATGTGACATGCTGCCCATTTTCCAGTGTATATGGCAGTGCTTCTTTGTAAAATTGATGACAGGGTTCGTTTGGAGTGCCTACTACTTTTGGACTTGAGATGGCCAAGTTGGAGGACAAAAGGTCTGCTTTTATGTACATACAAAGGATTGGAAAGTCGTCATATAGATCCGGGCAAATGAAGCCTCAGTCTTGCTTTTTGCATGCTCATACTGCTTGGAGTCATCTTGGTTGGCTCTAGATAAGACAGACAGCATAAATAGCCTTATTCTTTGACAAAAGAAAACAACAGAAAAGTGGAGATATAGATCCGTTCATATTTCGATAGCATGCCTTTATCGAAACGAAAGCTAGAAGCTATCAGTGAAGATTTTGTCAAATGATATGGCGATATGTCAGTCAATGAGGCTATCGCTGCCGTGGAAGCTAAGGTAGACAAATATTTCCATGCAGTCGATGCTTTCGGTATATCAAAATAGGACATCTCCGTTTTTTTAGAACGGTGTGTCCACGGTCATGCGTTTTTCTTTCGGAGATGACTTCTATTGACATGAATTGGGCATACCAGTGGAGAATCCATGCGCTCATCCTCTGATCATAATGTTTTTAGATCAATTTGAAACGAAGGCCCCGGCCGCGAGCCCAGTAAAGCCAATTTTCTTATTAAAGCCAATTGTTAATCATAGATGCCTCTGCTAGAAACGTTTATGATTATGCTGGGGTATGTACACGTGAACAGCGTTCCCTTCAAGAACCTTTATAGTTAGTGAATAACCAGCATCCAAATTAAGCATTTACGATGGAGTGTATAGGGGGCGGAAAGGGGGTCCCATATGTAGATACACTAGTGACGATGAAACAGAGAAACAGCAGCACAACGTTGGAAACGGAGCTCTTTGTCAAGCCCACCAACTCCGGTATGGTAGTCTGGCATTTCACTCTGGTACCTAAGTATTGGGCATATCTCAACGGCGAATCTGCACATCCCGCTTCCACTAAGTGCAGCATAATCTGCAATATGTTCCATAGGACTCTATACACTTTTCAAGTAGTGAAAAGGAAAGAAAGAGCATAACGAAATATGGACTTTGTTGTTAGGCAGTGGATATTCTTCATAAATTTTTAGGTAGAATGGTGGAAGAAGTAAAACATCTAGAGCGTGCGGGGGGATGGATGATACGAGGCGGGAACACGTTCTATTGGAAGGCGGATTCTTGACCTTACCTTACTTATATTAGCACTTGCTTTGGAAAGCCAAACACATCGTTAATATAAAAATTTAGCGTACGCATAGCTCGGAGGAACGACATTAAGCTAAAAGGGTCTCTGGTCAAATGCTTTATCTCAAAGCTTAAGTGCCCGGGTGGTAATAGATGCCATTGACGCATGCCTGGGTTTCAAGGGGTTTGCGCGCATAAAGCGTTGTTTACAAAATTAAGTGCAAACTGTGCGAACACAGGGGAGGGTCATAGTCTATGTCGGAGAGTCCATACGCCCTTTTCGTTTGAGATATAATGAACGCCTGCGAGGCGCTAGAGACAAAACAGAGAATCATGTTACGGTGGTCATTATTTGGCAAGACGCGTTCAGGCAGACAGGAAAATAAATGAGCCAATTATCATAAAAAACAGCGACCAAACGTTAACCTAGAAGGCTCATTATAGCCGATTATGCGAACGTGATATGTGCCTTGATGTGTGTTGTGTGCTGGTTTAAAGTCATTTACATGTAGAAGTGATGCCTGACGCGTGATGCGCGATGCTTTTTTAATTGAAATCGTTTGTATGCATGACTGATGTGTGATGTGTGATGCCTGTTTACTTGACCCCGGTTGTATGCTTGAAGGAAACGTGATGCGTGATGCCTGTTTACTTAAAGTCCTTTGCATGTACACGTATTTTTCGCGTATCCCAATTATTAGTCAGATATACATTGCATCGTAGTAGCTGCCAAGTGCTCCTTGTCTATTTCCCCAAATTTTGGCATCCTGTAAAAACCATGACACGCTGCTGCTGAAAAAAACAACTGAAAAATCGAGTACGATCGGCGGCAGAAAACTTTGATTTCACTTCTGCTATTTGTTTCTACGAAGGTATGTTGCTAAAATATCAACTCATCTATATCTCTATTCTCCCGGCTTTTCTCCGAGGAATAGGGCCATTACTACTGTCTTATCTATGTGCATAATGTTCCTCGCAAATGCACTTAACAACGCACGGATTTTGCCCCGGACAAAGAGGATTTTACATATGCTTGAGACCAAGGAGATCGCACGTGCTGGTTCTCCACCAGCCTTTTTGAATGAGTCCTAATTCCGGATCTTGAATTGTATAAAATCCACCGGTTTTTCCTGGTGCTATTTTTTTTAAAATGTATGGTAATGGTGTTTGCACACTTGTAGATTCTTGTGGGGACCCTTATGATGGGATTAGACTAAATAAGTGTACATGGAGTTAGAATAAGGTAATTTGACGTTAGCCAAAACACAGGCGCAACAGAAGAATGGTGGGACCATGCGACCTTATTTGGGGACACCTGCTATGCGGGGCGGGTGTGTGTTCCCAAATTTGGCGCGGGGATGGGCATGGGTATTTCAAAGATAAGAAGTGGCAACTTTTTAACAACACCCGTAAATGCGAAGCTCATCGAAACGTTTTCGTGGATAGTTATTTTGTTCTGCGGGCTCAATACTGAACACATCCTCACACCGCCCCCTGGTGCATGCGAGTGTTCTGTAGCAAAATTGGAATGTGATGTATACGTGAGAAATGTACATGAATGCATGCAAATGTATACACTCGTGAATGTATGCGTGTGTGCGGAGCTACTGCGTGCAGCTATAAGTAAGCACATATAAATGTATATAAACACATCGAAATGCAACTACGTCGACGTGCGGAGAGACACCCAAAACCTTATAGGCTTTGGAGTACATGTGTGTAGTGCAGGAAGTTGATGACAGGTCGTGTCGAACAGATGAAGGCGAAACTTTGTGGTGGCCTTGACTTGACTTGATTTAAGGATGGTTGGCGGACAGCAATCACGGACAGTGATGTCGACAGGCAAATAAAGCCAGCGGGCTGCGCGCTCATTGTCATCTCCTCCATGCCCCCACTATGCTTTGAGCCAAAATGAATAAGCGAATAAGATGCAGCAGGAAATGAGACACTGGCTGTAAATTATTTCAGGGTCATGACCGCCTAATTATACGAGGCTAGTTTACGTGGGGCTCGTAGCATTACGTAATCCGAGCCACAGATCTTATCCACCAATAGCGTTAATATGCGTTACAAGCTGTAAGCGTTACCACCGCTGAGCTAAGATCGGCACTTGCTGGGTGAGAACAGGCCGGAGCGCAGCTGACGGCGCTGGTCTGAGCTGGTGTAGCCGACCCAGCAGATTGGCGGGGATCAGTCATTGGGGTGAACTCATGGGCAGTGGCTGACAGCACGTCCTCGGGAGCGGGGAGACACGGGGTCATGATGAGCCGCAGCTTGAGACTCCGCGGAGCGTGAGGGGGGGGGGGGGGGGCTGGTCTGAACCGCTGCGTAAGAATGGCAGATGAAGCTGTCCGGTGTCCTGACTGTCGGGGTCTCAAGACGCAGTCTTTGCCCGGCTTCTGGCGGTCGCTTGAGTGGATCGGCGGAGCTTACGTTTGCCGTTGGCGTTGTCCCGTTCACGTTGGTGTTGACCTTACTTTCCTGACTCAGTTATCTCTCCCTTGGCCTGTGTTAGCTGACCATCCGTCCCAGCGGACCGTGTGTCCGACCCTCGACCGTCATATGTCTAACCCCTGACCGCCGCGTGTCCGACCCCTGACCGCCGTGTGTCTAGCCTCTGTGACTGTCATGTGTCTAATCCCTGACAGCCGTGTGTCTAGCCCCCGACCGTCGTGCGTCCAACCGCCTGATTGCCGCCGCCGTGTGTCTAACCCCTGACCGCCATGCGTCTAACCCCTGACCGCCGCGTGTCCGACCCTGACCGCCATGTGTCCAGCCGCTGACCGCCGTGCGTTCGACCCCTGACCGCCATGCGTTCGACCCCTGACCGCCGTGCGTTCGACCCCTGACCGCCATGCGTTCGACCCCCTGACCGCCGCGTGCCTAACCCCTGACCGCCGTGCGTTCGACCCCTGACCGCCGTGTGCCTAACCCCTGACCGCCGTGCGTTCGACCCCTGACCGCCATGCGTTCGACCCCCGACCGCCGCGTGCCTAACCCCTGACCGCCGTGCGTTCGACCCCTGACCGCCGTGTGCCTAACCCCTGACCGCCGTGCGTTCGACCCCTGACCGCCGCGTGCCTAACCCCTGACCGCCGTGCGTCCGACGGCCTGATCGCCGCCGCCGAGCGCCAGCAGCGCTGGCCGGCTGCGCGGCCCGTGCGGTGAGGGCGCGCCGTCCTGGCCGGCCGGCGCGCGGCCCAGTCGGCCCCTGACTGCGTCCAGTGAGCGCGCGGTGTCTCTGGTCCCGCCGCGCCCGGCCGTGCTGACCTCGGCAGTCGGTCGACCGCGTCGCCGGGTGGGGTCACGGCAGCAGCGGGACGGGTGTGACGGCCGGGGCACGGACGCCGCCGTGTCGGCACAAATCGGGTCCGGTCGTCGCGACTTGAGCCCGGTCAGCAAGTCGCGAGTCTCTCGCGAGAGCGGCGGCAGCGTGGGGACGCGGCTGTGGCCGCGTGAGCAGTGAACACGAACTGGTGAACTGTGAACTACAAACTGTGAACTGGTTCGCCGCGCGCGCTTCGCGAGTCGTTCAGGTCACACCGGGACGGACCAGCGCCGCAAGAAGGGAGTCTGTCTTAACGTTGATCGGACCTATGACGACGACGGTGCCGTGACGCCTCATCCGCATCCGCACCAGCGTTCGCCTCACCATGGACGTCTGCTTCAAGGACCCCGCGGAGCAGCTGTCGACGAACGACACGGCGAGCGCGCTCTACGAAGTCCCCACCGCCATCATCGCCGTCCTCTCCGTGTTCTACGGCTCAGTGTCGGTGATCGCCGTGCTCGGCAACGGGCTGGTGCTCTGGATCATCTGCACCAGCCGCAGGTAACGGGCTGGTGCTCTGGCAACGGGCTGGTGCTCTGAATCATCTGCACTAGCCGCAGGTAACGGGCTGGTGCTCTGGATCATCTGCACCAGCCGCAGGTAACGGGCTGGTGCTCTGGCAACGGGCTGGTGCTCTGGATCATCTGCACCAGCCGCAGGTGACGGTCGACCTGTCCACACAGCAGCTGTGTACCTCACGCAATGTGCTGCTCTTGGTTATGCACAGCGGCGGAGGCCGCACCAGCATAGCAATTTGACGTATGCGTATCGGTCACGTGTTACGCACTGCGCGAAGTGCTCGGTCGTCGACGATAGTTACAGGTAACACGCTGTTGTGCTCTGCCCTGTGCAGCAATGGCAGCAGCCATCACAGCCGTCTGGGTCATGTGCAACACGCACATATAATGCACGGTGGGATGTAGTGTTTGCTTTATCTGTAGGAATAACGTTCTGAGTTGCGTTACGTACCGTGGCCTGAGTTGTATGCAACAACTTTAGGGTACTCAACATAATCATCTAGACAAAATGCGCTAGTATGGCGAACGTTCGTTCTGCTTCTCCACGTTGATTACACATGATACTGGCTCACAAACACCATACGCACTTTGTTGCGGAGGGTAATTCCACGATCTATGCGGCAGGAATAAGGCATAACCCCCGGGGTGAGAAAGGCACGGCGCCTCGTCCACAATTACCAACATCCCAGTTGCAAGTCAAAACACTTGAACAAATCGTTACGTACTATCTTGCGTTGCGATACAAAAACTGGTTGCGCTTTCGAAGAGCGTGAACGCAGCCCTCGTTTCGCTCGGGCCCGTTCAACGAATCGTTCACTTCAATGCGTAGTCTTGAATTCAATCGGTGCTTCAAATCGTGGTCTGACATGTTGGAATTCTAAGCCTGCGAGACTCGTGCAGCTGCTTAATAAAGTTTATCTGAGCCATTCCGGGGCTGAATCCTGACAACCGCAGCCTATTACGTCGGCGCGGAATGTTCCAAGCCTCTGGGGCAATCACTGTCTAGCACGTTCATCCACCTGCATCCCCTGCAGGAGACCTTAAGGTCAGAGGTCCATGTAGCTGTCTCTGAGGAGGGGTATTTGGGTCGCACGCCTGGTCGCGTTTGACAGTCTTCAAACGCAAACCTGGTCGGGAAGGCAGAGTCACTCAACTGCACGCAAAGCATGAAGCTTGATATGGATCAGGACGCGTGGGAGGCATGCAGCAGTAATTGAAATACGTTACCTCAACAGTTCTCAGCATTTTGTCGTGACTTTACCTTACACTTCCTGTGCTTGGTTATCCACCTTTTCCATTGCTGGCATCAGTGACACCGTTGCAGGTGCGTGGCGGGAAAATAATTAAGGTTCATACGATAAACGCATTAGTGAGCTTGAGTACCTATTGGGACGAGTTTGAGTCGCTCAGCTCCATCCTCATGGTGACCAAGCCCTTGATGGCCTCTGCTCGTGTGCGCCCATGTAGTGCATTTAAGGGGCGTGCACACTCTGGTATGATATACACTGGCGGCTAAACATAGCTATCAATCTCGGGAACACCTCATCATGTTCCATTTACACATGGTACACCGTCGCCTGTTTGCTCATCCACTGCTGTCGAGCCGATGGAAGTTCGCGATAAAGCTTACAGTAGTGCCCCTCACGGCGTTCCTCCAGCAGCCATAAGTCACACCCTTCCTAGCTCCACGCCCGTCTCCGTGCGCCTTAGCTGAGCTCAGCATAATCATACGGTGGCGTCATCGGGCATTACAGAAGCGCCGCCCTCAGCGCTCAGCCGAGCTTCACTTCCGGCTTTAGATTTCAGTCGGCACGAGGGCCATGCGAGATGTTGGAAGGGGGAGGGGGAGTGGCAAGCAATGTGGCGGTGTCCCCCGCTCCAAAAACGTGGTGTTCGTATTTCCACCTTCCTGTTTAATATTGAAGCATACCCACACACTTGCCCTTAGCGGAGCCTGCACGCATACATACCCAAAACGCCTGACGTTGGTCGTTTGCACGACGGCTTGCGGTGCGACATGTTCGGAAACGTTTCAAGAAAAGAGTTGACAATGTAATGTACGAAAACTTTGGTTCAAAGTATTTTAACCCAGTATTCATTGCGTAAGTCGTTCAGTGCATTTGCGAGGAACATTCTTCACATAGATGAGAAAGTAGTATAGCCCTTTTCAACATTCTCTTGGTTTTTCTCCAAGGAATGAGGCTATTACTACCATCTTATCTTACCGTTATTCATTACTCAAAGAAGCACCCTGAGTTTGATAAACCCGTTTTGCCAGAAATGTTTACCTAGCATCACTTCCAATCTGTATATTATCCTACCAATGCTCAACTCATTAGGCTTAGTTCAATGTTCCCGAGCCAAACGATTTTGTGAAAACGGCTATGGCGTGCTCAAAGACTCCCACTCTTTCGTTAGCGACTTCTGCTTAGCGGGAGGCGGTTGCATCATGCCTTGCTTCCCTACAGCCGCCATGTGCACGCAATGTCACCGCCTCTTACCGCAAGTTCTATAATCTCCCAGGTGCAAAAGATGATTACTGTACACTCGGTGCAAGTGGTGAAAACACCGCAACAAACATACGCCTCCAACCGACATTGATGCCAGGATCAGTTGCCTGAACTCTGTATTGGACATCTGGCTTCTAAGATCCGTTGGGATTTTATTCAAGGTATGTTGTAGGATCTAGGACCCGTTATGGAACTTTGCCGAAGTTTCTCTTGGCGTCTCGAGTTTTTGTGCAATCGTACCGCAGCAGTTTGTGAGATCTTGAACTTTCAACATAATTGTATGCAGACTTTCAGCGCTCCGCCGACTTTTTGGTTGCGAAACTTTTGAGCTCGTTCATAAATAGCCATAAAATACCCTATATAATTTAGAACCAGACCAAAGCAAAATAAGCCTTCTCTCAAAATTTAAACTGTGAAGTTAGAACAGGCTGAAAACATTACTGTAACTGCCCCACATGCGCCATTTCACCACATGGACATATCTATCTATCTATCTATCTATCTATATATATATATATATATATATATATATATATATATATATATATATATATCTAGATATATAGATATAGATATGACAATCATGAAGAGGTTCGTGGTCAATCAGATTACTGCATGACTGAAAACATGCCTCCGTGAAAAATGTCGGTGTGCTAAACGTGCGAAATTAACTTGATTTACTATGCAAATCGAGTCAGTTGGCTTAACGGAGCATGATCACCGCCACGGTGTGCGCGGGTTGATTACTTTTTGAACTGATTGGAGTTCGGCAACACCGGAAGCTCCAAAAATGCATGTGTGTTATCTATAATATGAAATGACGGCGACATCAATAAGGTTTGTTCATTCGCACCACGAAATGACGTGTTTTGCGTGATCGGGGCAAGAAGAGCTCAGGTGAGTTTTGTGGTTTGTCGATGAAAGTGTGACTGGTAAATGAGGTGTCTGTTAATGACTGTATGAAGCTTTTTTACTGTCCTGGTTTTTGCTTCGATGTGTTGCCTATTGGTTTGCTGTCTATTGGCATACCACAGGACATTGCGGGTTCGCCCGTAACCAACACCTAGGTCTTATGACACCATTTGTTACCCGGTTCTGGCAAAGCCGATCGGCTAGACGACTGATCCCGTTCTACCTATGACATCAACATGGCCTGTTCCTGATAACGCCCAGACGCTTGCAGTTGCGATGGCAACGATCACGTGCTACAAACCTGTTGATTGTGAACCAGACGAATAACTTTCTGATTTTTCTGACTCGAGAGTGAGACCCATGCGGAAGGCACGACCTGGCAAACGAAGCGTCGAGCGGAAATCTGTTCGCGCTCCGCATAAAAAGAGCTGGCAATGTGTTGGCGAGTGCATCCTTGATTGTTATGGCGCTGCCGGCGATTGGAAGTGTGCTGCGTCAGCCGATGGCGTTGTCGCACAGACCGAGGAGCCGTACAAGAATGTCCGTGCCTTGATAAATATCCTAGGCGATGGCTGCTACCCAAGACACAAGGAGGCTGGACGAGGAAAAATGTTCAACAGCAGGGCATTGATCTTATGGCTGGATTCATTGAAGGAACGCAATGACCACACTGGCGGAAAGCAGCGCAAAGTTTTTGACGTAGACGGACTTGCCTGTTGGTGCTTGCCTTCCTCTGTGTGGTCGCAACAAGGGGCGCAAGCACCTCCGCCAGCATCAGTACACTCTGAAGAGGGCTTGGCCGGAAAACAAAACCATGAATTACGCATACAGAATAGATTAAAGGGTGGATTACGCCCAGTGTCTCACGACCGCAGTCGGTCTCGAAAAAAATATAAATTTCATGGACTAAGCAAATTATAGACCTGTTCTGGCAACGTCTGGTGGGACGTTCGCGCAAGGAGACGCATTACAGCGCAAGGCAGCTGCTTGCAGCGGCCTCGACATCCCTGCAATCCTCTCTGTCACCCGGACAAGGCAGGTGCACTTGTATCAACATCGTGAGCCGTTCCGCAAAGACGTCTGTGCTCAAGGCAACGCAGAACATCACGTAGCGAGCTCAGGGAACAGCTGGCGATCGTCTGCTCTCTGGACCATGGTCCAACGCTCTGGCTCATCGTCCAACGCTCTGGTCCTTGATGACCTCTAAGCGGTAGTGTATGAGGAAGCGTCTCCGCCATGACAGCTCCTGAGCGCCCCACCTCACAGCACACTGTTCATCCCCACCGAAGGTCAATCGTGAAGGGGGCGTGAAGCGTTTGACGACTGACCCAGCCTCCTCACAGTCAGACATGCCGCTCACACAATCAGATGTACCGCAGACTGAACAGCCAGATGTGCCGCAGGCTGAACGGCCAGGTGTACCGCAGACTGGACGGACATGTGTACTGCAGACTGGACGGCCAGATACACCGCAGACTGGACGACCAGGTGTACCGCAGACTGAACAACCAGATACACCGCAGACTGAACGGCCAGGTGTACCGCAGAGCGAACAGCCAGA